AATACTGTCACCAACATGGGACACTCCTCCCTCTCCCAACAGATACACTATTCTCCCACAACATACACCGTCACCCCTCCCCCCATACACCAACAATGGGCCACTACATACTCCCCCACTACCAACAATGGAGCAACTATTCACCCCCCCTGACACCAATGATACACGTACTATTCCTCCGACATACACCCGATGCGGCACTATTCCCTCCCCATGACCCATACGATGGGGCACTATTCCAACATACAGCGATGGGGCACTATCCTCCTCCCAACCCACTGACACCAACGATGGGGCAACAATTCAACCCTCCCACTGACACCAATGATGGGGCACTATTCCCTCCCACTGACACCCCAAATGATGGGGGCACTATTCCTCCCACTGGACACCAACGATGGGACACTACTCCTCCCACTGACACCAATGGGACATATTCCCTCCCATGAGACACCACAACTATTCCTCCACCCCACTGACACCAATGAAATGATCCTTCACCCCCACTGACAACCAACGATGCGGCACTATTCCTCCCACTGACACCAATGATGGGACACTATTCCTCCCACTGGGACATGGGACAATTACCTGCCCACTGGAAACACTCATTATTTCCTCCCACTGACAACCAACGATGGGACAACTAATTTCCTCACCACTGGACACCAACGATGGACACTATTCCTCCCACTGACACCAATCGATGGGGCACTATTCCTCCCACTGGACGTTGACCACCAAACGTTTGGGGCACTATTCCTCCCACTGACACCAACAATGGGCACTATTCCTCCCACTGACACCAATGATGTGGCACTTTTCCTTACCACTACTCAATGATGGGGCACTATTCCCCCCACTGACACCAATGATGGAGCACTATCCTCCCCTCCCACTGACACCAATGATGGGGCACTATTCCTGAACCACTGAGCCACCAATCCCACTCAATGATGGGGCACACTCCAATGATATTCCTCCCACTGACACAATGAAATGATGGGGCACGACTATTCCTCCACTGATACCATGATGGGGCACTACTCCTCCACTGCAAAATTTACAGTTATGAAGTAGCAAACGAAAATAATTTTATGGTTGGGGGTCACCACAACATGAGGCAACTGTATTAAAGGGTCGCGGCATTAGGAAGGTTGAGAAACCACTGATCTACCATCATCATCATAATTCACCATTATCTTTGGCAAACATAATCCTACACCACCATCATCCTTCATCATGATCCAATATCATCATCCACCACCATCATCTTCATCCTAAACATTCACTCCACCTTCATCATCATCCTTCACTATCACCGTTCATCATCATCCTCACACCCTATCACCCTACACCATCATAATTATTGTTCATCATCATATTCATTCTCCACCATTATCCTTGACCCTTACACAATTATCCTTCAACATCATCTTTCACCGCCATCCTTTCATTGTTCATTCTACATCCTTACCCTCAACCATCATCCATCTTCATCATCATCCTCCCTCATCATGCTCTAAAATCATCCTTGACCATTATCAATCCATAACATCATCCTCCACCATCATCTTCCAACATCATTCTTCACCATCATATCCCATCATCATCCTCCACCACCATCCCCCATCATTATCATATTTCCCTATCATCTTCCACCATAATGTTTCACCATCACCCTCCACCATTTTTGTTCAGCATCACCTTCCACCATCATACTGTACTATCACCCTCCAGCTTTTTCTCCTTCATCATCCTCCACCATCACTGTTCATCATCATCCTCCACCATCACCCTACACCGGCATCCTTCATCATCATCCTCCACATATATCATCCTTCACCATCACACTTCACCATCACCCTTCATAGTAATTCTTCATCATCATCCTCCACCATCACCATTCATCATCATCATCCTCCACCGGCATCCTTCATCATCCTCCACATATATCATGCTTCACCATCACCCTTCATCACCATTCATCATCATTCTCCACCATCTTCCTCCTCCATCACCTTACACCATCATCCTTCATCATCATCCTCCACCATCACCCTTTATAATATTTCTTCATCATCATCCTCCACCATCATCCTTCAAATATATCATTCTCCACCATCAACATTCATCATAAATCCTCTACCTTCCTCCTCCTCCATCACCCTACACCATCATCCTTCATCACCATCCTCCACATATATCATCCTTCAGCATCACCCTTCATAATACTTCTTCATCATCATCCTCCACCATCACCATCATCCTCCACCATCCTCCTCCTCCATCACCCATCATCCTCCAGCATCGTCTTTCACATATATCATCCTGCACCATCACCCTTCATAATACTTCATCATCGTCCTCTACCTTCCTGATCCTCCATCACCCTACACCATCATCCTTCATCAATATCCTCCACCATCATCTTTCATCATCATCCTTCAAATATAAAGTTGCAAGAAAAAGTATGTGAACCCCTTGGGATTACGTGGAGTTTTGCATGAATTGGGCATAAAATGTGCTCTGAACGTCATCTAAGTCACAACAATAGAAGAACACAGTCTGCTGAACATAATACTACACAAACATTAGATGTTGCCATGGTTTAATTGCACATAACATGTAAACATTTGTCTTGTCTTGTTTACCATTATCATCAAAAGTGAAAGCAAAAGAAAATCCCAAATGTTGTCTCTAGAACAGGACTAGAGGAGAAATCTTGCAATGGGGACACTAGTCCTAGTGCCCTGGAGGACCCTATGTATTCCCTTAATGTGCAGAGATTTCCTCTCACTTCCTGCTGTGGCAATGGGACAGGAAGTGAAGGTAAATCTCCCCAATGGGATATAGATGGAAAAAAACTGACAGGAGTCCTATCCCTCCCTTACTCTATCCAAAATGGAAAAAAGGTTTTCCTGTAGTTCTACTCTAAATTGGTAATAAACCCTTACATATACTCAGTGAAGTGACTGACCTCAGGTGATACACAGAGATGAAACAAATCCTCCTACATAAGTTGTACTTGTTTATCTGCGGTATTCACTTCTCTATAGCCATTTAAAGTTCAGAATTTATAAAGCTTGTCTGGGCTTTCAGAAACAGGGTGTGGAGAGCTGAAATTACACACTGCAGAGCTCAGTGAGGAGAGCTTTGAGAGCTGATTCGAGGGAAGATACACACCCCTCTCCACATAGTGTAACTGAGGGGGAGGGGTGTAATGAATAGGGGGTTATATTTGAGGGGGGGTGTAATGAAGGGGACATAATGAGTTTGGAGGGGTGTAATAAAGGGGTGATTTTATTTGAGGGGAGGGGCATAATGTATGATGTTTTTAAAGAGTGGGGGTATATATTTAGGGGGGGTTTAATTGAGTGAAAGGGGTATAATGAAGGGAGTGTTTTTTTAAGGGGGGAGGGGTATAATTGGGGGTTCATTGAGAGAGGAAGAGATAATGTCAGGGAGGTGGATTTGAGGGGAAGGGGGGAGATGTATTTAAAGGGAAGGGGAATATTGACGGGGGTGTAATTGAGGAGGAGGGTATAATGGAGGGGGGGGGTGTATTTTGGGGGTATGATGATGGAAGTGTAAATGAGTGGGAGGGGTGTAATGAAGGGGGGTTATATTTGAGGGGAAGGGTTATGATGAATGGGAGGTGTTTTTCAGGAGGACAGTTATATTTGGGGGGTGTAATTGAGTGTGAGGGGTATAATAAAGGGGGTGGTTAGTATTTGAGGGGGAGGGGTATAATGAAGGGGGTGGTTAGTATGTGAGGGGGAGGGGTATAATGAGGGGGTGGTTAATTGAGGGGGAGGGGTATAATGAAGGGAGTGGTTAGTATTTGAGGGGGAGGGGAATAATGAAGGGAGTGGTTAGTATTTGAGGGGGAGGAGTATAATGAAGGGTGTGGTTAGTGTTTGAGGGGGAGGGGTATAATGGAGTGGTTAGTATTTGAGGGGGAGGAGTATAATGAAGGGTGTGGTTAGTGTTTGAGGGGGAGGGGTATAATGGAGTGGTTAGTATCTGAGGGGGAGGGGTATAATGAAGGGCGTGGTTAGTGTTTGAGGGGAATAATGGGGGTTAGTATCTGAGGGGGAGGGGTATAATGGAGTGGTTAGTATCTGAGGGGGAGGGGTATAATGAAGGGAGTGGTTAGTATCTGAGGGGGAGGGGTATAATGAAGGGAGTGGTTAGTATTTGAGGGGGAGGGGTATAATGAAGGGAGTGGTTAGTATTTGAGGGGGAGGGGTATAATGGAGTGGTTAGTATTGAGGGGGAGGGGTATAATGAAGGGAGTGGTTAGTGAGGGGGAGGGGTTTGAGGGGGAGGGGAATAATGGATAGTATCTGAGGGGGAGTGGTTAATGGAGTGGTTAGTATCTGAGGGGGAGGGGTATAATGAAGGGAGTGGTTAGTATCTGAGGGGGAGGGGTATAATGAAGGGAGTGGTTAGTATCTGAGGGGGAGGGGTATAATGAAGGGAGTGGTTAGTATTTGAGGGGGAGGGGTATAATGAAGGGAGTGGTTAGTATTTGAGGGGGAGGGGTATAATGAAGGGAGTGGTTAGTATATGAGGGGGAGGGGTATAATGAAGGGGGTGGTTAGTGTTTGTGGGGGAGGGATACAATTAAGGGAGAGGTGCATTGGGGGGTAAAGTTAAGGAGTGTACTTGAAGGGGGGGGGGTATAGTGAAGGGGGGTTGTACTTGAAGGGGGGGGTATAATAAAGGAAGTGTAACTGAGGGGGAGAGTATAGTGTAGGTAGGGTATAATGAAGGGGGAAGGGGTGTAATTGATTTGGAGAGGTATGATAAAGGGGGGTCTTTGAGTGGAAGATGTATAATGAAAAGGGGTGTATTCGAGGAGGAGGGGTATAATGATGAATTGGGGTGTAATTGAGAAAGGACTGTAATGAAGGTGGTGGGTATTAATATTCTCCGGAACTCTGTTCTCTGTCTTTGTTTCCGGCGGAGGATATTGGTGCTGACTCTGGTCTGAAGCCGGCGGTGGGCGGTGCGTTGGGCGCTTTCCGGTCAGCCTGGCTCTAGTAGAATACAGTAGCAGCGGCTCGGAGGGGGAGGAGCCGCCGGGGCGGTGAGTGACGTTCATGGTCCTCCGGTGGGATCAGTGTGTGTGGGAGATGCTGGAAGATCCCCCCTCTCCTCCCCACTGCCATGGTCACGTGACCCGTGTCAGAGAAGATGATGGAGGTGTGGCTGATCTTAGTGATCATAGACAGTACGATCTGATTGTACGACACTGTGTGCTATAGGGACACACCGAGACAATCCGATCATTTCTGTGCCTTCACATACAGACCCTACACTACATAGTGGATGGTAGGTGATGTGATTGGGGGCGTGGCTGTGTTGTGTGTGTCATGTGACCTATACAGAGCACTGAGAAAGTATTCAGACCCCCTTCACTTGTGCAATGTTACCTTGCAGCCTGACACTAGATTTGTATAATTTATGATTTTTTTCCTCATCACTCTGCACCCCATAATGAGAAAGCGGAAGCAGAATTTTAGAAATGTTTAAAAAACTGAAATCTCCGATTGGTACAAATATTCCGCCCCTTCGCAACAACGCATGAAATGCAGCTCAGGCGCCTCCCATTGCTGCAGATCCTTGCTGAGACGTTCCTACACCTTGATTGGAGGCCGCCTGTGGTCAGTTCAATGGATTTGAAAGGCACACACACCTGTAGAGGGCCTCCCAGCTGACCATGCATACTGTATCAGAGCAAAAGCCACGAGGTCACAGGAACTGCCTGCAGAGCTCAGAGACAGGATTATTGAGAGGCACAGATCTGGGGGACGCTACAAAACATTTCTGCTGCACTGAAGGTTTCCAGGAGCTCAGTGGCCTCCATAATTCTCAAAGGAAGAAGTTTGGCCTCTTCCAAGTGCTGGTCGCCTGGCCAATCCGAGCAATCGGAGGAGAAGTGACCAAGAACCCGATGGCCACCCTGACTGAGATGGGACAAAGTTCCTGGAGGACAACCATCACTGCTGCTCTGCACCGATCTGGGCTTTATGGCAGACTGACTAGCCCTCTCGCACACAAGATGTTTTTACGGCGGCTTTTTTTTGGCTTTTGACATTTTTATCCTGCATGTTATCCCGTGTCCATACACACATAGACTGGAATCAATGTTTTTTTGGCTGGAAAACCCCAGGACTAGCGGGTTTCTAGAGGAGTTTTTTAGCTGTAAAAACGCTCAAACGCGGTAAAACGCTGCATACCAGCATTTTTGGACTTTTTTTTTGACAAAAAATATATTTTTTTGGTAAAAACGCTAGAAAATAAAAACGCAGGAAAATGCCACTAATCGTGGCTAAACGCTAATGCAAAAATGCTAAAAAAAAAAGCAGAATGAATTGTTCCGCTCTGCCCCTGCGTGGGCGTATCATGACATTGTTGTGTTATACAAACAAAAACTTCTTTAATACAAATATTGAAATAGAAAAAAAAGTCCAAATACGCCAGTTTCCTTAACTATACCAGACCACATGCAGGGGTCTGCAGGTAGGGGGCTTATCGGAATAGGGAAGACCCCTTTAACAAGGGGGCCCCCAGATCCTGCCATGTACATGGTACCCCCTACTCATTCACAAAAAAAAAAAAGAAAAGCATGCCCTCTCGATGACATCACAAGTGACGTCACCGGGTGGCCCTGCCCTTGGTTATTTAACCGTTTCAATATCCTGCAATTTTACCCTTCCTGCCCAGGCCATTTTTCAGGTTTCGGCGCTTTCTCACACTTTGAATGACAATTGCGCGGTCATACAACACTGTACCCAAACTAAAATTTTATCATTTTCTTCACACAACTAGAGCTTTCTTTTGGTGGTATTTAATCACCGCCTGGGGTTTTTATTTTTTGCTAAAGTAACAAAAAAAGACCAAAAATTTTGAAAAAAAAAACACATTTTTCTTTGTTTCTGTTATAAAAGTTTACAAATAAATAATTGTTCTTCATAAATTTAGGCCGAGATGTATTCTGCTACATGTCTTTGGTGAAAATAACCCAAATTAGGATGAATTATTTAGTTTGTAGGAAAGTTATAGAGTTCACAAACTATGGGATAGATCTGAATATTGATCAATCCTGAAGTACTGACAGCCAATCTAATTTCTTGAGGTCCAAGAATGTCAGAACAGTACAGATATCCCCCAAATGTCAGAACAGTACAGATATCCCCCAAATGTCAGAACAGTACAGATATCCCCAAATGACCCCTTTTTGCAAAGTAGACAGTCCGATGTACTTCATAAGAGGCATGGCGAGTTTTTTGAAGTTGTATTTTTTTGTCATAATTTTTCGGAAAATAAAAAAATTAAATTATTTTCACAATTTTTTTTTTTTTACATACTGTCACCAGTGCAGTACAGCATCATCATATAACTGGCATGGCGGTGAACAGGGACACTGACTGGTGACAGTATGAAAAAAAAAATATATATATTTTTTTTTTTTTTTTTTTTTTTTTATTATATTTAATTTTTTATTACATTTGTTTTTAGTTTTTTTAAGATTTTTTTTTCATTTTTTACTATGACCAAAGTAGTACAATGTTACCATAGTAAAACTGAACACACTTTAACCACTTCTGCACTGCCCTATAGCAGAAATACTGCTACAGGGTGGCACGGATGCCACACTGTAGCTGTAAAAAAAAAAAATTTTTTTTAAAAAAAAAAAAATTTTTTTTTGTAGAAAAAAAAAATTATTTTTTGTAGAAAAAAAAAATTATTTTTTGTAAAAAAAAAAAATTATTTTTTTGTAGGAAAAAAAAATTAGTTTTTGTAAAAAAAAATATTTTTTTTTGTAGAAAAAAAAAATTTTTTTGTAAAAAAAAAAATTTTTTTTGTAGAAAAAAAAAAAAAAAAAATATATTTTTTTTGTAGAAAAAAAAAAAATATTTTTTTGTAGAAAAAAAAAATATTTTTTGTAGGAAAAAAAATATTATTTTTTGTAGGAAAAAAAAATATATTTTTTTTGTAGAAAAAAAAAATTAGTTTTTGTAGGAAAAAAAATATTTTTTGTAGGAAAAAAAATATTTTTTTGTAGAAAAAAAAATTTTTTGTAGGAAAAAAAAATTATTTTTTGTAAAAAAAAATATATTTTTTTTGTAGGAAAAAAAAAATTAGTTTTTGTAGGAAAAAAAATATTTTTTGTAGGAAAAAAAAAAATTATTTTTTGTAAAAAAAAATATATTTTTTTTGTAGAAAAAAAAAATTAGTTTTTGTAGGAAAAAAAATATTTTTTGTAAAAAAAAAAAATAACGCAAACGTGGGAAAACGCAGCTAAACGCTAATGCAAAAACACTAAAAGGCTGAAAAACTCACATTACCATCGTTTTGAAAACGTCCAGTGTGCATGAGGGCTCAGTGTCCATGCACACATAGACTGTAAATCAACGTTTTTTGGCTGGAAAAAAACCCAGGACTAGTGGGTTTCTAGAGGAGTTTGTTAGCTGTAAAAACGCTCTAACGCTGAAAAAAAGCTGTAAAATGCTGCAAACCAGCTTTTTTGGATTTTTTTTTGCAAAAAAAAATTTTTTGGGTACAAAAAAAGTGCTAAAAAACCGCAAACGCAGCTAAACACTAATGGAAAAAACACTACAAAAAAGCTACATGAGGGGTCAGAGGAGCTCTGCACTGGCCAGAAAGTGAAAAGTATACAATGTATCAACGAGAAAATGTCCTCTGAGCTCAGGAATTAAAATAATTTGTAACATTTCATCGGGGAGATCGTTTTGTGAAGGAAAGAGCACTGGAATGTTTTCTTTGGGCTCCATGTACACTGCAGCTGATAAACTCACATTTAGGAGCTTTTCTGTGTTTTTTTTCAGCAGCCCCTGAACCCTCCTTTATGTTCTCCTATGTATCCATGTACACATCGTCATTTACAGGCAGTTGAGTTTACAGTTGTTTTTTAACGTACCAAACTTGCGTTCAGCAGTCGATTTTACCGGCGTTTCAAACGCCAAACACTTGTAAATGCGGTTAACCGCATTTATAAGCGTTTGCGTTTAGAAGTGTTTTTTAACTGTTCCATGTCCAGATGCTGTCCAGTGTTTTTTTTTTCATCATCAGAAATGCATGCAAAGCATTTTCTATGTATTCAAATGGACCCGGTACACCAGCGCAGTCAGTTCCAGGTTTGGCGTGAAGGAAACAATGGTAGAACGCGCCGCATTATGCTCATGATCCATAGTAAATACAACCAGAAAAGACAGGTCATCTCAACACATACTGCTCTCTCTGCTTCTGCTCTCTCTATTCCTCTCAAAATGTCTGAAATAGTTAATTATTTACTATTTTTCAGTGCATTCTGGGCATTTTGGAAGGTCTCCTGAGGTTATCTTTCAAAAACGCTTCTAAACGCAAACGCGGTATGCAAACGCGGCTAAACTGACGTTTTTTTAACCTCCGTTTTCCAGCAGTTTCCATCGTTCAGAAGGGTTTTCCAAACGCCCCGTGTATATGGAGCCTTAGTTTCACAATATTCCTGTGTGCCTTTTGGTGTAGTGTCATGCTGCAAAAATAAAATTGTCAAAAAACAAAACCAAAAATAACGCAAAAATTTAAGTGCTAAATATCGCAAAATATAAGTAACGCATTCGGTAATTTCTGCATGTTTTTTAGAGAATTGACTACTTTTGAGATAAATATCGCACCAGTTATTTTAACTCCCAAATTCATGTAGTATTTCTCTCTTAGTGAACTGGCCCCGTAATGTTGTAAAATTGGGGCCCTACATTATGATATAAACCTCTTGGGGGGCATTTTTTAATTTGTTTCTTTGGCTGATTTTAGTACCGCTTTAAGGGCTGACAATCTAGTGGGCGGGAAAGAAGTCCCGAGGAGGAGTCCCATGTTCTCTGCTTGGGAGGGTCATGTGGTCACTTCTATAGATGTCTGTCCAAGCAGCATCTTCGCTGACCATTGAGGACAAAGCACCCAGGGGTCACAAATCACACTGCTCCACCCGGGGGGGGGGGGGGGGGGATTGCTGCTGTGTTGGGGGGGTGTCACTGTTGGGCTTTGGTTGGTGTTGTGTGTTGGGGAAGGAAATGTCCCTATTACAGGTTGGTTGGTGCTGTACTGGGGGAGAAGGGGTGTCACTTGGGGTTGGTTAACGCTGTATATGGGGGGAAGGGGTGTCACTGTCGTGGGTTGGTTGGCACTGTTTTGGGAGAGAGGGGGTGTCACTGTCAGGGGTTGGTTCTGTGTTTGGGGTGGAAGGGATGTCACTGTTGGGGGCTGGGTGGCACTGTGTTTGGGGGGGGGAGAGGGGATCTCACTGTCGGGGATTGGTTGGCACTGTTTTGGGAGGGAAGGGGTGTCACTGTCAGGGGTTGGTTGGTGCTTTGTTTTGGGGGATCGGGTGTCAGTGTCAGGGGTTTATTGGTACTGTGTTGAGGGGGATGAGTGTCACTGTCAGGGGTTGGTTCTGTGTTTGGGGTCGAGGGGATGTCACTGTTGGGGATTGGTTGGCTCTGTGTTTGGGGGAAGGGGTGTCAGTTTCAGGGGCTGGTTGGCACTGTGTTTGGGGGGGAAGGGGATGTCACTGTCGGGGATTGGTTGGCGCTGTGTTGGGGGGAAGGAGATGTCACTGTCAGAGGTTGGTTGGTGGTGTGCTGGGGGGGGGGGAGCGTTGTCACTTGTGGGGTTGGTTTGCGCTGTGTTGGGGGGGAAGGGGTGTCACTGTCAATGGGTTGGTTGGTCACTTTGGTGCTGTGTTGGGGGGGGAAGGAGATGTCACTGTCAGAGGTTGGTTGTTTGGAGCTGTGTTTGGGGTGGAGCGGATGTCACTGTAAGGGACTGATTGGCGCTGTATTGAGGGTGGGGTGTCACTGTCAGGGGTTAGTTAATGCTGCATTGCGGGGGAGGGCATGTCAGTGTCAGAGATTGGTTGGTGCTGTGTTGGGGGATGGACGAAATTTAAGGCAAAGATTCACATACGAGTCATGTTGATCCTCTTTCTTTCCAGGCAGCCCTGCCCCCTCCCAGTCCCGGAGAGCATCCTGAACATGTTCCCAGATGGCGATCAGTACACAGATGACACAACCAGACATGGCGGCCGTGTGCGCAGCTTTGCCCATGAGCGAGGACACTGGGCCACCTACGTCTATGTGCCAGGTAACCATGGTAACTGTACACTGTAAGGAGAACTGGGAGTGGCTGTGCTGTATGTCATGTGACTGTAGGGGGTGTAGCACTGGCAGTTGTTGGCAATATCTGAATTCATCCTCATCATCCTTCCTCTCTCAGTCCGTCCTCGGGAGGAGTTCTCTGAGCTGCTCGATGATCTGCTGAGTGTGGCTGGGAGGAATGGGCTCCACCTCACCAAGATGGAAGAATTTCATATAAGCCAATCACAGACAGTTATCCTGCGTCATCACTGGATCGAGCCCTTCATCCAATCACTTCGGGAGAGGCTGAGATTGGTGAATCGGTGAGTGGAAACTTCCAACCAGTAATGGCTGTGTAGGTGGGATTTCTCCTCCGGAGGCGCCTGTACTGAGGGTCCTCAGCAGCTGTGCAGTATGTGACAACAGCAATGTGAAGGGCCCTGGGCCCCGGAGGATCTCACATATGTCATCTCTTTAATGCAGGCCATAGACGGGTCGAATTTTCATCCGCACGAAAAATCGGCCGATATTCACGCCGTTAGTGGGGTCAGCCCGTCGGCTGTTTTTTACAGATCTTCTCGTTTACTTTTATCGGTCATGCTGGAAAATCCACGAAAAACGTCCGTATTGGTGGCAGCATCGGTGCCAGCAGTGACCGATTTTCCGTTTATCGGCTGACAAACGGCCGTCTATGGCCTGCATAATATTCTTCTTACTGATTAGCTAATCTTCTGTTTCAGGTTCCTGTGTATTGCCAACCGCTTGAAGGTTTATACCAATCAGGAGAAAACCAGGTGAGGGAGCTGTGTGTAAGGTATGGCCCCCTCCTCCCCGCCCCTACCACCACCATCTCCGGAGTGACCCTGTAATATGTACTACCCTATGTAGCATCCTATGTCCCGCCTACCTGAGGAGAGTGAGTCTTGTGTCTTGCCTACCTGAGAGAGTGCGTCCCACCTACCTGGGGAGAGCGTGGCCCAAGTCCCCCTATCCGGGGAGAGCGTGGCCCAAGTCCCCCCTATCCGGGGAGAGCGTGGCCCAAGTCCCCCCTATCCGGGGAGAGCGTGGCCCAAGTCCCCCCTATCCGGGGAGAGCGTGGCCCAAGTCCCCCCTATCCGGGGAGAGCGTGGCCCAAGTCCCCCCTATCCGGGGAGAGCGTGGCCCAAGTCCCCCCTATCCGGGGAGAGCGTGGCCCAAGTCCCCCCTATCCGGGGAGAGCGTGGCCCAAGTCCCCCCTATCCGGGGAGAGCGTGGCCCAAGTCCCCCCTATCCGGGGAGAGCGTGGCCCAAGTCCCCCCTATCCGGGGAGAGCGTGGCCCAAGTCCCCCCTATCCGGGGAGAGCGTGGCCCAAGTCCCCCCTATCGGGGAGAGCGTGGCCCAAGTCCCCCCTATCCCAGGAGAGCGTGACCCAAGTGCTACCTAGCTGAGCCGATCATGTCCTGTGCCCTACCTACCTTAGGAGAGTGCATGTCCTACCTACCTGAGAGGAAGCGTCTGTCCTACCAACCTAAGGAGACCGCATCCTGCATCTTCCTTACTTGAGAGAGTGCGTCTTACCTATCTGAGGAGAGCAAGTCATACCTAGCTGAGCAGATCCTGTACCGTGTCCTACCTACCCGAGGAGAATGCATGTCCCAAGTCCTACCTATCTGAAGAGAGCGTGGCACATGTCCTACCTGCCTGAGCAGACTGTGTCCTGAGTCTTGCCTACCTAAGAGAGTGCATGTTCCATGTCTTACTTACTTACTTAGGAGAGTGCATGTCCCGAGCCCTACCTACCTGAGGAGAACATGTCCCACCTACCTCAGAAGAGTATATGGCCCGTATCCTGCCTTCTTGAGATGAATGCATGTCCGTGTCTTACCTACCTGAGAAGAGTGCATGTCCTGTATCCTACCTATTCGAGGAAAGCATGTGTCCAGTGACCTACCTACCAGAGGAGAGTGTGTCCCTCATCCTACCTACCTAAGGAGAGCGCATGTTATGTGTCCTACCTACCCGAGGCACACTGTGTGCGATGGCAATGTCCAGCTCACCACCCCAAGGTTATGAGGATAGTTGTACCCAGTGTAGGGTGTTCAGAGATAGGTGTACCAGGTGTGGGGTGTTCAGAGATAGGTGTACCAGGTGTGGGGTGTTCAGAGATAGGTGTACCAGGTGTAGGGTGTTCAGAGATAGGTGTACCTGGTGTGGGGTGTTCAGAGATAGGTGTACCTGGTGTAGGGTGTTCAGAGATAGGTGTACCAGGTGTGGGGTGTTCAGAGATAGGTGTACCTGGTGTGGGGTGTTCAGAGATAGGTGTACCTGGTGTGGGGTGTTCAGAGATAGGTGTACCAGGTGTGGGGTGTTCAGAGATAGGTGTACCTGGTGTGGGGTGTTCAGAGATAGGTGTACCTGGTGTAGGGTGTTCAGAGATAGGTGTACCTGGTGTGGGGTGTTCAGAGATAGGTGTACCTAGGTGTACCGGGTGTAGGGTGTTCAGAGATAGGTGTACCGGGTGTGGGGTGTTCAGAGATAGGTGTACCTGGTGTGGGGTGTTCGCTGTATTTTTGTCTGTGTTGCCACAGGACTACAGGTACACCTCCCCCAGTTCTCATCCTCTTATGATAAAGGTGTGAGCTCCTGTAATCCTCAGAGATACTGTAGCTGGGAATGATGTAACTGACAGGAGTAGGAAGTTATCATCCACCGGGATTTCTGGCAGGATCATCAGGTATTTATTTTTGCACTTGAACCGATATAAGAAACCATCCAATTAGATATTGATGAGACTAAAGGGGAGGAAATGGCAGAAGTTCATTGTTGGGGCGTAGGTACACACACACACACACACACACACACGATTGGGGGGGCCAGGAAGCACTTCTTGTGTCAAGATACAATGCAGGAGCTGGCAGGAGCCAGCAGAAAGGAGTTAATTATTATCTCTCTGACAGAACTTTCTTGGGCCTGGAGGTGACGGTGGGGCAACAGCAGCTCCTGGACGTGGTGTCAGAAGTGGACCAATCACTGCAGGAGTTCAGGCTAGAGACCTTCTACCAGGTGAGTGGTGAGGTGCACCCTGGCCTGCCATAGCACTCTGTGTACCAATGTTATTCCACCTGTCCATGTAGACTTGAGGCTGTAATCTGGCAATTAATGACCAGACACCTACAGCTTTGATGCCCATTTCCCTGTGTGTCACTGAAAGCCCCCCATAGGTCCTTGTGTGTCCTGATGAAGAGTGACTCATTCCTTGGGAGTCCCCCACGGGTGTCCCTTTCACAGAGAGCATCCGACAGGTGTCCCAATGAAGAGTGGAATCCCCCACAGGTCCCCTTGTGTCCTGAGGAGTGGCCATTGCCCTGGAACTCCTCACAGGTCCCAGTATGTCCCTTTCCTCAGTGGTCCCCTGTGAGTCACTTTGTGTCTCACTGACAAGTGGCCCTTTAGTCGGTTCCCTGCAGGTCCCCATTTGAGGAGTGTCCCGATCTCTGGGAGTACCCTGCAGGTCACCGTGTGTCCCAGTGAGTAGTACCCCAGGAACCACCCACAGGTTCCTGTGTGGCCGAATGAGAGTGTCCCTTTCTTTGACACCCCCCCCCCCAGGTCCCTTTTGCCCTGTTGCCTAGCAGCCCCCACAGATCCCTGTATGTCCCAATGTAGAGTATCCCTTTCCTTGGGAGCCCCCTATAGGTCCCTGTGTGTCCCAGTCAAAATTGGAGCCCAACCAAATACACGTGTCCTGCTGAAGAGTGTCCCTTTCCTTGGGACTCCCCTGCAGGTCCCAATGAAGAGTGGAACCTCGCTCAGGTCCCCATGTCTCCTGATGAATAATGGTTTATTCCCTGGGGGATTCCATGTGCCCTAATGAAGAATGGTTTATTTCTTGGGAGTCCCCCAAAGGTCACCATGTGTCCCTATGAGGAGTGACCAATGCATCAGGAGCCCTCCAGAGGTCCCTGTGTTCCAGTGAAGTATAAAGCCCCCCACAAGTACCCTTGTGCCCCAGTAAAGTGTGGCCTGTTACCTGGTAGCCCTCTGCAGGTCATTTTCTGTCCCAATAAAGAATGTCACTTTCCTTGAGCTCCCCACAAGTCCCTGTGTCCCAACGAAGAGTGGCCAGTTCCCAAGGAGCCCTCTGCATTTTCTTGTGTGTCCTATTGAAGAGTGCCCCTATTCTCAAGAGCCCTATGTGTCCCCTTAAGGTATAGAACCTCCTGCAAGTACCCGTGTGTTCCAGTTAAGTATAGAGTCCTCTGCAGGTACTTGTGTGTCCTAATGAGGAGTAGCCCTTACCTTGAGACCCCACAGGATCATGTCTGTCCCTGTGAAGTATGGAGCTCTCTGCAAGTACCCATGTGTTCCAATGGAGAGTGACCTGTTCCATGGAAGTCCCCCACAAGTATGTCCTGATGAAGAGTGGCCAGTGCCTGTGAGCCCCCTCACAGGTCCTTGTTTGTCCCACTGAGAGGTGGAGTTCCCAGCTCTGAGGTCACCAGTCTTCTGAGCCAGAATTGGTTGGAGCTGACAGTTCATGGTGAACGCTCCACCCATATGTGAAAATACACTGCAGCCAATCTTTTGTAGACATGCCCTGTCCACTGCAATAGTGGCTTGTTGGGGAGAAGAGGCGAGCACCAGTCCCCTGATGTTAATGAGGCCTCATGTGATTGGGCATTTTCATTGTAAAACCTGCAATCTGGTTGTTACTTTTCTATCAGTATATTACCCAGAATTGATCTTCTCTCTTCCCAGAATCCCTCTTTCCATGTTAGTCTGGCCTGGTGTGTGGGAGACATGGTGGATCTCCTGCAGGGGACAGTGCGGGATCATCTGCAGGTGAGATGGGTGCCGTACCCCATGTGACTGTGCTCCTCATTCCTTGTTAATGATTTGTCTGAGCACAGCTGGGCAGGGAAATAAATCTGATTCCCATTTCTGATATTTCCATATGTTCTTAGCTGAGCAGAAACAGAAATGGCTGAGAGCAGCTTAAAGTGGTTCTAAAGGCTTAAGGTTAACCTTCATGCATTCTATTCTCATACCTCTTGTGTACAGATTCCCCCTCAATATATACCCAAGCCCACTCGCGATCCAGCAATGTACACGCAACAACCAGCACTCCCGCGTCTCTCATTGGCTGAGACACAGCGGCGGGAGCCATTGGCTGAGACACAGCGGCGGGAGCCATTGGCTGAGACACAGCGGCGGGAGCCATTGGCACTCAATTGGCTCCCGCTGCTTTCAATCATAGCCAGAGAGGAGAGGGGCAGGGCTTTGCTGTGCTCTGTGTCTCATAGACACACAAAGACGGCTCGGGAGCAAGCACGCACGAGTACCCCCAGAGCAAGCAGCTTGTCCTGGGATCACTCATCAGGGGGAGGGGCCAGGAGTGTTGGAGGCGGACCCCAGAAGAGGATTGGGGCTACTCTGTGCAAAATGATTAGTGTGGATGCACACATATGCTGTGCGAATTGAAGCTCCCTTTTCACTGCTAATTGAGAAAGTAATTGTTCAGAGGTTCAGGTCAGGATTTTATTCTGTTCACAACTGAGGACATGTGCGATTCAGATGCGTTCTTATAGAAGTTAATGGGCCTGAATTCGCACCTGAGCTCAGAAAACTGACAGGACTCTTTCAATTCACAGTGAATCATCACACCGGCTGTACCGCATGTACTGTATGTGAACAGGCACAATAGAAAGCAATGTTCTTTCATGTGTTGTGCAAATTGGATGCGGTTCAAAACACATTCAATTTGCATGTGTGAACCTGCTCTTACACAGTGCAGGTAAATATAACATGCTTGTTATTTAAAAAAAAAAGGCGAGGGAAAGTAAAACAATCCTTGCATTGGCCGGGAATCGAACCCGGGCCTCCCACGTGGCAGGCGAGAATTCTACCACTGAGCCACCAATGCTGCAGATGTTGACTATGCTGGCTTCTTCCTACAAGTGCTGACACAGATGTGCCACATCAGCAGATTTTAGCTGAAAGATTCCCGGTCCAGGCTTCTCTCTTCCAAGAGTTTCTTTTAACCACTTGCCCTCCAGGGGATCCCCCCCCCTTCCTGACCAGGCCATTTTTTTGCGTTACCGAACTGCGTTTCTTTAACTGACAACAGTCATGCAACGCTGCAAATAAAATTTACTTCCTTTTTTTTTTTCTTACAAATAGAGCTTTCTTTCAGTGGTATTTGATCACCCGTGCATTTTTTATTTTTTGCGCTATAAAAAAAAATAGTCTTTTTTTAAAAAAAAAAACAGTATTTTTGACTTTTTGCTATTAAACATGTCCAGTTAAAAAATTTTAAAAATCAAATTTCCTCAAATTTAGGCCAAAATGTATTCTGCTCCATGTCTTTGCTAAAAAAAAAAAAAAAAAAAATCCCAATACGTGTAAATTAATTGATTTACATGAACGTTATAGCATTTACAAATGGCGGTATATATATACTGGGCTTTTTAATTTTTTTTACTAGTAATGGCGATCAACAACTTATATCGGGACTGCAGTGGGCATTCTGACACTGGGGGGGGGGAACTTGGTGTCACTGACATCCCCAAAGACATTAATACAGTGATCAGTGCTAATAAAAAGCACTGACACTACTAATGGCACTGGGCAGGAAGGGGTTAACATGTGGTGCGATCAAAGCGTTAACTGTGTGCCTTATTACATGATGCTCTGTGTTTGTGATTCACTGTATGCACACTGCTTTGCATGGCTGTGCAGTGTGCAGGAGCTGACAGCGAAGAGAGCTGTTTTGTTTACTAACAGTTCTCCCCCGTCGGAGATCCTTGGCAATAACCAGGCACTGGCGAGTAGTCACCGGCTGGGATCTGGTGGTTGACAGCCGCGGCCACAAATGGCGGCACAGGTAGGGCACGCCCACACGCACGCACCCCCTACCCGGAAATGCAAAATCACTTATATGTGAATTTGTGTAATCTGCCGCTCTGTAGCAGTATATGTGCGATGGGGCAGCGCTAAAGCGGTTAATCTGGTTGCATGTGAGCTCAGGATCAGAGTACATGCAGGTGTGAAGCACTGGTGGTTCAGTAATAGAATTCACATCTGCCATGAATGAGGCCTGGGTTTGATTGCCAGCCAAAGCAAATGTTTGTTTTTTTTTTATTATAATATAGTGAATAAATGGCTGAGCTATTTTTTTTTTGTAAATGCATATACCAGAAACTGTCCGCGTTGATATTTCTATGAGAAAATACCAATTTCTGGTAATGGATATGCTTCCAGTTGTCCCAATGTAGGACTAACCTGTTCTGTTCTCCTGCCACAGGGGGCGCTGTACTTGACTCCCCTTCTATTGACCATACATGTTCAGCACAGAGTGGCATTCGCAGTGGCTCCCATAACACATAGCAGCTTCCAGACCAGGTGATGGGGGCTTACTGGCCAATCAAGCTCAAGCTACCTCTAAATTCTGGTAGCCAGCTATAATCTGAAATGTTGGAGTGGTCTGGCCTCAAGAGTTTTCTGGAGGTTTAATAGCAGAAAGGGGGGACATGGTACATAGAATGGAGAGAAGGGATCGGATATGGACTGTGACTGCAGACTACCACCCCTCACCGATTAATGTATCTTCCCTATCTGTGGTCGGAGGGTCACGGCGCACACTGCTGGAGGGGGGGGTCACTTAACATGTCACCTTTGTTTTCAGAGAGTGGTGGATGATTTTGATGATTCAGAGATCCTGACACGATTCTATGCAGATGAAATTCGTTGCAAAGCTGGGAACAAGGTCTTCTCCATCCCACTGCGCTGACTGTTCACAGGATGTGGAAATTCTGCGGATCCTACAGATTGTTATACAACCTGCACTGTCTTTCTACATGTAAATGGTCATATTGTGTACTGATATTTTCTACAAAATGATATATTGCTGGAATAAAACAATACATAGAGACAGCTTTCTGCTCCTTGAATGAGCTAAACAAGGAAGGTGACCATCTCCTCAAAAGCATGCGCCATGGCTGGAGGAACATCAGAGGCACACAGGAAGGTTGGGGGGTTCATCAGAGGTACACAATACAGCTCAGTGTACATTGGAAGTACATGGTACAGCTGGGGGTACACCACAGGCACACAATATGGATGGGGGTACATCTGAGGTACTCACAGAACAAAGTCCAGATCTGATTGATCAGCCCCAAGCAGCTGATCCCAGGAGAGGCAAGTCTCTATCCTGAGATTACAGATTTTAAGACCCACAAACTGGTGCAGTGTCTGTCTAATCCCGATTTCACCTGCCATTCAAATTTCTAAATTGCTTAATAACATGAGACTAACCACCAATGACAATCACCGACTTCATTGTTCTGCAGATCACACAAACTATATGGCCTCGAACTCCAGACCATCACACCTACATGACATTGTTGGACTTTCCAGTCCAAAGCCATTGCCATTAATATGGAGTTACCCTACCCTACCCACCATGGCCATTAATAGCAAATTACTGTACCCACCATGACCATTAATCTAGAGTTACTCCCCACCATTGCCATTAATATGGAGTTACCCTACCCCACCCACCATGGCCATTAATAAGTTACTGTACCCACCATGGCCAATAATATGGAGTTACCCCACCTACCATGACCATTAGTATAGAGTTACTCCCCACCATGGCCATTGATATGGAGTTACTCTACCTCACCCATCATGGCCATAACATTGAGTTACCATACTGCACCCACCATAGCCATTAATAAGTTACTGTACCATGACCATTAGTATGTAATTACTCCCCACCATGGCTATTAATATGGAGTTACCCCACCTACCATTATTATTATACAGTATTTATATAGCGCTAAAAGGTTTGCTCAGCGCTGTACATTGTAGTGGGGGACAGAACATGAGACAATACAGTAACAAAACACGAGGGGGTCAAGGACCCTGCTCTTTCGAGCTTACAATCTAGGTCTAGGACCTACCATGACCATTAATATAGAGTTACTCCCCACCATGGCCATTAATATGGAGATACCCTACCCTACCCCACCCATGGGTATTAATATGCAGTTACCCCCCTCCTCTCCTCATGGAGTAACCCCTCCCCAACTCACCATAGCCAATATAATGGAGTTACCCCACCCCCACTCACCATGGACATTAACCATTTCAATAAGTTAGCACTTTCACCCCCTTCCTGCCCAGGCCAGCTTTCATCACTGTCGCACTTTTGAATGGCAATTGCGCTATCATGCAAAACTGTACCACATGAAATTTTGATCATTTTTTGAGACAGATGGATCTTTCTTTTGGTAATATTTATTTAGCAAAAAATAAAAAACCATAGTAGTGAATAAACTAAAAAAGACCAAAAAAAGAAAAAGTTTCTTAGTTTCTGTTATAAAATGTTGCAAATAAGTAATCTTTCTTTTCCACTAATGATCAGCGCAAATGTGCCCTTTATCGGCTCTCCTTTCCTCACACAGTGACAGTGCGTGAGGAAAGGAATGCCGATAATCAGCAAGTTTGTTAATGTGATCAGCTGTGATTGGACACAGCTGATCCTATGGTAAGGGGCTGCTGTGATTGGCCCTTTACCTCGATCTATGATCAGCTGTGTCCAAAAGGTCACAGAGTGTGTTCCAGAGGGCATACGGCAGGTGTGTACTGGGAGGACCTCCATAGACACCCTCCCAGAACTAGAGAGCCATGCAAGCTGTTGCGTGGTATTGAGGTGGTTAATATGGAGTAACACCACCCACCATGGCCACTACTATCCGATTACCCCACCCCACCCACCATGGCAATTAACATAGAGTTTAACCCCCCCCTTCCCCAATGCCCATTAATAACACAGCAATCTGGATTACAGAAACCCACAATATTGTGATAAACATTTTTCATTATCATCGTGAAGCATCACATATTACTAGTACTCAGTTCCCACTGGTGGTTCAGCCGGCAGTCAGTTCACACTGGTGGTTCAGCCGGAAGTCAGTTCACACTGGTGGTTCAGCCGGAAGTCAGTTCACACTGGTGGTTCAGCCGGAAGTCAGTTCACACTGGTGGTTCAGCCGGCAGTCAGTTCACACTGGTGGTTCAGCCGGCAGTCAGTTCACACTGGTCAAAAAAATGTAAAAGTGAGCGCTAGATAAGAAAAGAGCTGCTAAGCGCCAATAAGTACCAAAAGACTCTGTAAAGAACATATAAGAAAGGGCGCAGCGCTAAAATGCAATATAGCTAATGAACATACACATAAAATAAGTGATAACAATGTGCCAAGAACTGTGCATGAAAAGCAATAAAGTCCTTAAGTGATAAATGGTGACTCAAAAAACGTGCGTCTTCCGGTGATCAGAATAATTGAATCATGCACTCACCAGATGCATAATTCAAATATGCATATAGATGATATCCCGATATCCAAGCGAAGTTATCTCATAAACGGATAGGGTCATCATCTGGGTACATCAGTCCGTCCAGGTTTCTCCTTATGGATCGTGTGTTTCCACACTAGAACACCCTCAGCTGTCCCCTAGGTGGCTCTGCAAGTAATGGACTCAGCAGGGTCGTAAGCCACAGAGCCACGACACGGCACCCTGATCATCTGTGGTCCTAACTCTAAAATTTTAGAGCCACGACACGGCACCCTGATCATCTGTGGTCCTAACTCTAAAATTTTAGAGTTAGGACCACAGATGATCAGGGTGCCGTGTCGTGGCTCTGTGGCTTACGACCCTGCTGAGTCCATTACTTGCAGAGCCACCTAGGGGACAGCTGAGGGGTGTTCTAGTGTGGAAACACACGATCCATAAGGAGAAACCTGGACGGACTGATGTACCCAGATGATGACCCTATCCGTTTATGAGATAACTTCGCTTGGATATCGGGATATCATCTATATGCATATTTGAATTATGCATCTGGTGAGTGCATGATTCAATTATTCTGATCACCGGAAGACGCACGTTTTTTGAGTCACCATTTATCACTTAAGGACTTTATTGCTTTTCATGCACAGTTCTTGGCACATTGTTATCACTTATTTTATGTGTATGTTCATTAGCTATATTGCATTTTAGCGCTGCGCCCTTTCTTATAAGTTCACACTGGTGGTTCAGCCGGAAGTCAGTTCACACTGGTGGTTCAGCCGGCAGTCAGTTCCATCAGCCTCTGTAATATCAGTTTCTGTCCATAGCGCACTTGGAGTGAATACTTCTGTCTGCTGCTCAGCTTGGCATACTCGGTGGAATCATCGAGGATACACTGGTCGCTACGCAGATTGGTGGTGTACTTCTGCATGGTAAGCTCTGCCCCGGAATGGAGGAGCCTGCGCCAAGACAATGGCATACGTGCCACTTTCTGAAAGGTCAGAGTCTCTTCCTCCTCATCATCCTCATCCTCTTCCCAGCCATCATTTTCCTTGTATTCAGCAAACTCTTCGGCAGACATGCAGAGCAGCTGGAAGACAAAGAAAATATCTGCTACAGTAAAACCACTTGCTGTGTTACCACGTCGATTTTAATGATTTTCATAGAACATACAATATATAGAAGAATCATGTTTAGCTACCATCTTGAAAAAAAGGTTCTCCCTCTGTTTAAAGCAAATTACCTGGCTTAACTAGTTAAAAAGAACACCTTTGTAAAGAAAAAAAAAAAAATACAAATATAATAGAGCACATATTTTTGCATGTAAAAAAAAAAAAAAAAAGTGCATTTATTTATTTATTTTTAAACTAGGAGCCTGTAAAGCATTGCACCTGTGATCAGCAGATCTACGTGCAATGCAGAACTCCTGCATATGGTCTCTGTAAGCGGTCTGCTCTTACAAACAGGCAGTTACACAATGACTGGAAGAAACAATGAACTACCTAGAGCAGGGGTGGGCAACTGTGGCCCTCCATCTGTTGTAGAACTACAAGTATCATGAGGCATTGCAAAACTGACAGTTACAAGCATGACTCCCAAAGGCAGAGGCATGATGGGACTTGTAGTTCACCAACAGCTGGAGGGCCACAGTTGCCCACCTCTGACCTAGAGCACTCAACAGCACCCTGGTAGTTCACAGAGAACTACAAGCCAACAGCCGCAAAGCCTGACGGTTTATGAAGTTCTCTCATTCCCAGAACTCTGAATGATGTGGGCTTAGTTTGGGGAGATCCCCGGCTCGCTGTCACTAGAGACGGCGGGAAGGCTGCAGCAGTGGAATCATTACATATGGAAAGGCAGGGAGGGCTGGACATTTTTTTTTTTTTTTTTTCTCTTTTAAAGCAGAGTTATTATTATTATACAGTATTTATTTAGTGCAAAGTGTATGCTCAGCGCTGTACAATAGCAAGGGGGACAGAACATGAGACAAGACAGTAACAATACAATACACGAGGGGTTCGAGGGCCCTGCTCTTTCAAGCTTACAATCTAGGAGTTCCACCCAAAAGGGAAAGTTCTGCTTTAAGTCTTTCTCCCTGCCCCCTATTAAGTATTGGCACCTTTGGGGGGCTTTGGCACCTGATTTTGACATCTACCCGCTCCCACTTAGCGGAAGCTGTCCTCCCTCCCCGTAGTCTTCGGGTACACGTGACAGGTTCCAGAAGACTACAGGGCCATTCACAAAGCGCAGCACTTCTCGCACATGCGCAGTGGGTAGCTGGCTGTGAAGCCACAAGCTGTCACAGCCAGGTGCCCACACTGCAGATGCCGGAGAGAGAAGACGGATGGTGAAAACAACCGTAGTGAGATCACCGCTGGACCTAGGGACAGGTAAGCAGCTGTATTTTAAGAGTCAGCAGCTACAATTTTTGTAGCTGCTGACTTTTATTTTTCTTTTTTCGGGTGGAACTCCGCTTTATGTAAAAAACATCTCCCCCCCCCCCCCCGAATAAAAAGCAACAACAAAAAAACAGCGTGATACGTATAGAGGTTGGAAGGAGGGAAGTAGTGGAAGAGGGTGAAGGTCCGCTTTAAATTGACTGTTTATGATGTGTATGGATAGACTCGCTGGTTTCCTCTGTGCATTTGAACCCCTTTACTAGACTAAAGATGTACAAAGAAATGTAAACATCTCACATACACCAGACTTCCGGAAAGATCACCATACAGCCTAACACCAATATTTAATAAACTAAAACATGTGCCCCTGTCCCAGCACACTGTACTGAATTCCTAGCTAGTATGTGGGCAGAGAAATGCCTTTTCCATTCTGGAGTTCTTCAAAATGAAACCTTTCCCATATTTCAGCCCTTACCACAGAAGAAGGCAGAGCTGGGACAGCTCAATGTAGAGCCATAGTACGGAACTACTAAAAGGGCCTCCTCTTTGACCCAAGACAGGGATCCATATTTGCTCTGTTGACAGGTCCACTTTTGCTCCACATTTTACCAGACATTAGCACAAAGTCTAAATTATTTAGAGGAGGAGTGGCCATGGCTCTACCAGCCAATTAGATGCTAGCTCGCACTTTTCTGCTGAGAAGTGTGAACAGAAGAAAACTGATTGCTAAGGATCCCCCTTCCAACTTCTAGTTGGAGATACAACATGAGAACAGAGCTGGGAGATTCATGCACCAACTGCCATTACCTTCAGACAGGTCTTCAGCTCGTCATCTGTCAGCACCTCCTCACAGCCGAAGACAAATGCTCCTTCTTCCCCCACCATCTCCATACGGCACAGGAAGGACCACCTCTCTTGTAGCTTTGCCTTCTCCTCCTCTGACTCTGCACCTGCAAATACAACCCGATGTGAACTCAGCAAGTAAAATCAGAGTCTCGTGGCATAAACCACAGGCACCGAATTTAGCAGAACTCCTGAAGAACTCCTGACATGACTAAGTAAACCACGGGGACCACCAGCATGACATGACTATCCATAGAGTAAACCACGGGGACCCACCTCAGCATGTCTCCTGCCAACACCACCTGCTGAAAGGAGGACTGTACACAAGATAGACCACGGGGACCCACCTCAAACAGTCTCCTGCCAAAACCACCTGCTGAAAGGAGGACTGTACACAAATAGACCACACCCACAGCATGTCTGCTGAAAGGAGGACTGTACATAGGTCAAACCACAGGGACCCACCTCAACAGGTCTCCTGCCAAAACCACCTGCTGAAAGGAGGACTGTACATAAGATAGACCACGGGGACCCATCTCAGCATGTCTCCTGCCAACACCACCTGCTGAAAGGAGGACTGTACATAGGTCAAACCACAGGGACCCACCTCAACAGGTCTCCTGCCAACACCACCTGCTGAAAAGGACTGTACATAGGATAGACCACAGAGATCCATCTCAACAGGTCTCCTGCCAACACCACCTGCTGAAAGGAGGACTGTACATAAGATAGACCCATGGGGACCCATCTCAGCATGTCTCCTGCCAACACCACCTGCTGAAACGAGGACTGTACATAGGATAGATCACAGAGATCCACCTCAACATGTCTCCTGCCAACACCACCCACTGAAAGGTTGACTGTACATAAGATAGACCACGGGGACCCATCTCAGCATGTCTCCTGCCAACACCACCTGCTGAAAGGAGGACTGTACCTAGGTAAAGCACAGGGACCCATCTTAGCATGTCTCTACTAATGCCACCCCCTCAGACTAGGTTTACACCTATGTGTTTTGCAGTGCATTTTCAGATTTGCAGAAACAAACTACAGTGTCTTTAACATTATTTCCAGTGGGTCAAGTTCACATCTGTGCGTTTTCCACCCGGCAGTAGATTGCATTTTGGGTTCCATAGACTTAAATGTACATGCAATTTTGGTGCATTTCCTGCATGACAACAGACACCTCCCCCAAGCAACATTAATACATTCCAAAAACACAGTGCATCAAAAACGTGTGTGAAAAATGCAAACCGCGCCAGAAAAATGCATCAACTGCAACCTGTATAGGTGTGAACCTAGCCTCAAAAGTAGGACTGTACATGGAAAAAACCACAGGGATCCATTTTAGCATGTCTCCTGCTAACACCACATGCTCATAGGAGGACTGCAGGTAGAATAAACTACATAGGCCTCATCCTGCTAACACCACCTGCTGGAAAGGGGACCTATGTAGGACGAGGCACAGGGGACCATCTCAGCATGTCTCCTGCTAACTCCACTCACTGAAAACGGGACCTACCTGGGACAAGGCACAGGGGACCATCTCAGCATGTCTCCTGCTAACTCCACTCACTGAAAATGGGACCTACCTGGGACAAGGCACACAGGACCATCTCAGCATGTCTCCTGCTAACTCCACTCACTGAAAACGGGACCTACCTGGGACAAGGCACACGGGACCATCTGAGCATGTCTCCTGCTAACTCCACTCACTGAAAACGGGACCTACCTGGGACAACGGGACCACACGGGACCATCTCAGCATGTCTCCTGCTAACTCCACTCACTGAAAACGGGACCTACCTGGGACAAGGCACAGGGGACCATCTGAGCATGTATCCTGCTAACTCCACTCACTGAAAACGGGACCTACCTGAAAACGGGACCTACCTGGGCAAGGCACAGGGGACCATCTGAGCATGTATCCTGCTAACTCCACTCACTGAAAACGGGACCTACCTGGGACAAGGCACAGGGGACCATTTCAGCATGTCTCCTAACTAAACTCACTGAAAACAGGACCTACCTGGGACAAGGCACAGGGGACCATCTGAGCATGTCTCCTGCTAACTCCACTCACTGAAAACGGGACCTACCTGGGACAAGGCACAGGGGACCATCTGAGCATGTCTCCTGCTAACTAACTCACTGAAAACTCTACTGGGAAAACAGGGGACCCTACCTGGGACAAGGCACAGGGGACCATCTGAGCATGTCTCCTGCTAACTCCACTCACTGAAAAGAGGATCTACATAGGATGAAGCACGGGACCATCTCAGCATAACTGGCACCAGCCATCACTCACCTTGCAGTGCAGCTTCTCGGAGAACGCCCATGGGGATGTCAGCCGTGTCGTTGATGTTGTCTGGATGCGGCTCAGAGAAGCCATACATGTGCAGAAGCTGCCAGTTCCCCATCTGTCCATAAGTATTAAACAGCTCGTGTCCCGCTGGAACCGACTGCGTGGTCACCATTCGCAGACACTCCTGGAGGTAATAAAACACAATAAAATGACCCCCTCATACCAAACACAGCCTGGAAAATACATGAAACCCAGCCAGAGACTCACAGTTGTGAACTCCAAGTGTGTGTTGTGCCGTGCAACATGATTCAGCAAATCCGCCACGGGAACCATCATAGGAGGAAGGACTTCCTTACTAAAATCCTCCTCTTCATCCTCCATCGGCTCCTGGAAACTGGAACACACAGGACAAGTTTAAACAGGGACCTCTCTCATTATTAGACTACACATGGGATGTCTTTATAGGTTCCTGGCATACCACCAGTACCATTTATAGCTTTCACCGTTCTAGAATGATGTCATACAATACTCATGGGATGCCTCTTTATTGGTTCCTGGTATAACACCAATACCAGTATATAGCACTTACCTTTCTATAATGATGTCATAATATACACACATGGTCCTTCGTGTCAGACTACAGCAGGATGTCTCTTTTTGGTTCCTGGTATACCACCAGTACAAGTATATAGCGGTCACCATTCTATAATGAAATCATATAAATATGCACATCCCTTCATCTCAGACCACACATGGGACGGCTCTTTACTGGTTTCCGGTATACCACCAGTACCAGTATAAAGCCGTTCTATAGTGAGGTCATATAATATACACAGCCCTTCATATCCGGCTAGATATAGGATGTCTCCTTATCGGTTGCTGATATACCACCAGACCCATCTCCCTGCTCCCACTTACATCTAAACTCCTCGAGCGCCTCGTCTACACCCGCCTATGCTCTCACCTCAACGACAACAACCTCCTCGATCCCCTACAGTCTGGCTTCCGCCCCCTACACTCCACCGAAACCGCCTTACTCAAACTCTCCAACGACCTTCTAACCGCCAAAGCTAATGGCCACTATTCAGTGCTCCTACTCCTTGACCTCTCTGCGGCCTTCGACACAGTTGACCACCCCCTCCTCCTCAAAATACTACACTCCCTCGGCCTCAGAGATTCTGCTCTCTCCTGGCTCTCATCCTACCTGTCACAACGCTCTTTCAGCGTTACCTATAATGCTACCCATCCCCCTCACTCCCCCCTCTCTGTTTGGGGTCCCTCAAGGCTCTGTCCTTGGGCCCCTTCTCTTCTCCATCTATACCTCCTCCTTCCTCCCTGGCCAACTCATACACTCTCACGGCTTCAAACTACCACCTCTATGCCGACGACACACAAATCTATCTCTCAACACCCCCCATCTCACCCCCTCGGTCTCTGCCCAAATCACACACCTACTGAGCGACATATCAGAATGGATGTCGCTCCACTTCCTTAAACTGAATCTCTCCAAAACCGAGCTCCTTGTCTTCCCCCCAGCCCGAACCCCACCCCCCATTGACTTCTACATCACATCCAACACGCCAATATCAAACCCGCTCTGCAGGCCAGAGTACTGGGTGTCATCTGGACTCCAACCTATCCTTCCAGCCCCAAGTCCAATCTTTAACAAAACTCGTGCAGACTCCACCTCCGCAACATCGCCAAAATCCGCACGTTCCTAACCCCAGAAACCACTAAACAGCTCATCCACTCCCTCATCATATCACGACTATAACTACTGCAACTCCCTCCTCACTGGCCTCCTCGCCGCTGGATATCCCCGCTTTCAGTCGATCCTGAATACGGCTGCCAGACTCATTCACCTTTCCAACCGCTCCGTTTCCGCCACCCCCCTCTGCCAATCCCTCCACTGGCTTCCGATTGCGCAACGGATCAAATTTAAAATCCTAACACTGACGTACAAAGCTGTCCACCATACTGCCCCGAACTACATCACTGACCTAATATCCAAGTACCGCCCAGCACGCACACTCCGCTCCTCACAAGACCTCCTTCTCTCTAGCTCCCTGGTCTCCTCCTCCCATGCCCTAGCCTCCAGGACTTCTCCAGGGTGTCACCCATCCTCTGGAACTCCCTGCCCCAACCCATCAGATTATCACCTACTCTCCTCTCTTTAGGCGCACCCTGAAAACCCATCTCTTCAGGGAAGCCTACCTCACCCCCTGCTAACTTGCTGACCTCCTCCACTCTTCCTACCACACTCCATCCCCCACAGCTATCTCCTCCTGTACCACTATCCCATCCCTTCTAGATTGTAAGCTCGAAAGAGCAGGGCCCTCGATCCCCTCATGTTTTGCATTGTATTGGTATTGTTCTGTCACATGTTCTGTCCCCCTTTGTAATGTACAGCGCTGAGTGAACTATTGGCGCTTTATAAATACTGTATAATAATAATAATAATAATTGTATAATGATGTCATAATATAAACAACCCTTCATATCGGACCAGACACGGGATTACTTTTTTTTCGGTCCTAGTGTGCCACCAGCACCAGTAGATAGCATTCACCATTCTATAATGATTTAATTTAATATACACAGCCCCTCATATCACACCAGACACAGGAGGTTTCTTTATTGGTCCATGGTATACCACCAGTACCAGTACATTGCAGTCACCATTCTATAATGATGACATAGAATACACACAGCCCTTCATATAAAAACTACACACGGGATGTATCTTTATCATTTACTGGTATACCGCCAGTATATAGCAGCCACTGTTCTATGATGATGACAAATAATATATACACACACGGGGGGGGGGTCCTATTCATAGCACAGTTGGGGGCACAGAGCAGCAGTGAGGCCTATTTAAAGCACAATTGGGACACAGAGAGGTTGTGGGGGTGTTCATAGCACAATGGGCAGTGACTCCACCTGCGACCAGCTTCTGTAACCCGTTGTTGGGAGGTGATATATGCTGCTTTTACAGTTCACTGACGTATATGTGACCCCAATCAGTAAAATCTCAGATCGATTTGTCATATTAACATAATTTAAATTGTCATAATAATCTCTGGTGATCCTGCCATGATGATCATTTTTCAGGCACTTCCTGTTATAGGGTGACAACATCCTGTCCCTGTCTCCCATTGTAATTTTGTGTTGTCACCCTGTCATAGAGGCTTCACCTGGAGACTACATGCGGCCTTTACAACATACAGTATAAAAGGCATGGTTCACTGTTGTCACCATCAGGAAACCCATCACTACTCAAATATATGTAGACAGGAAGAGGCTGCAGAAGATCAGCAGTACTGAGGTAGAACACTTACCTGTAAGCCATGACAAAGGCCACCAACCTCATGTAGAGGTCTAGTGTGTGAGTCTGAGGACTGAACGTCTCTGGATGTCTCAGGATGAAGGGAAGGACAATCATCTCATATTCCCGCTCAATATTATGCAGATCTTTCCCGACTGCGTCCAGCACCCCGGTGCCCTCCAGAAGCTCCGACCGCTCCTTCTCTGACCTACCGAGAAAACTCACATCAGACATATAACTCTGCCCAGGGAAGTCATGTGATGTCCTTGTCCCCGCCCACCAACAGTTCTCACCAAAAACATGGGGAGGTCAGGAGGGATCAGCTGGGGCCACAGCCCAAAGTAAGGGGCCCATGGTGAACTGGCATCTGTGGCTTCGTACATGAGGGAGAGGATGAGGGGAACCCAGCCGGATGTGCTGTCCAGACTCTGCCGTTCTGTGAGAGGAAACAGAAGACCTGTCACCGATGGGGAGCCCACATACCGTCCCTACAGGCACACGTGAGGGTGTGTCTTCATCCCTCAGGGGTGGGTTCACGTGGTAGGCGTGTCTATGACAGCAACACACGGAAGCCTCCAATAGAAGCGGTCATCTCTGAGCCAATGCTGGGTGGAGGTTGGCCTTTCCTTTAAAGGGGAACTCCACTCTTCTCACCTTGCTCCAGCATTTCCTGAATCCGGGTCGTATGTTGTGACAACAGAGCCGAGCGGGGGATGGTAAACACAACTTCTCCAGCCGGAACATCCTGGCAGGCCACCATCCCGTACTGTGCCACCGTCCCTTCCATGCCGATGGACACCTGGGGTCACAGTGCCACCGATTAGAGGCAAAGCTAGGCCAGCAGAGGGAGGTCACCTACATGCAAAGACTTACCTTCGGGTTCAGGTGGATTCCAGAGGTGGTACACCAATCCAGAAAGGCGGAGAGCCGATCCTTGTGGGCGGAGGTAGGACTGTTGTCTGTGGAGGCAGGATCATGGTGGGAGGAGACAGGATCATGGTGGGAGGAGATCGGATCTTGGTTTTCCTCCTGGAGCTGAGAGAAAATCATGACAAAAATTAGGTGACAATCCGCTTTCCTTATACAGCCTTCTGACTGTCTCTCCACCCGCCCCGGCCTGGACCTCGATCTATAATAATAACATCCCGCACCTTCCGCCTCTTCTCCTCAGGACTCATCTGAAACATGTGCTTCCGGTTCACTTCCGTGTTAAGCCCTGCCCACCGAGAGCTGATCTCTTCATTGGAGGGCGGAATGTGAGAGCGAGAGGGACACACCCACCGAGCTTGGGTACCCGAAGGCTCCGCCCCCGAGTGCAATTCCAATGGAATGCTCTGCCCACTGCATCGTCAGCGGGAAAATCGGAATTACGGACATCCCGATACCGATCTTTACCATCCCGATACCGATCCTTATCATCCCGATCATCTCCATCCCTGCCATCATTTCCATCCCTATCGCACGTACTATAGATAATAGTCACCTCCATACGGGGGGCGGGATCATATAGCTCCGCCTCCTGAAATCTCCTTTCTGGTTATCAAAGAGATGTGTAGATCCACCCCTGTCCCATACAGAGTGTAAGCTCTGCTGGCAAGTCTCCAGGATCTAAGGCTGGTTCACCTGTACTTTATGGGAGACCTTCACCCCAACATGTGACTGCGTCTTCCAGCCCTTAAAGGAGTTGCTCACCCCAAACTCAGCCCTGACCCGGTTCAACCCCTAGAACCCTATTCCCGAACCCAATCCAACCTAAAACCCCTGATCAAACCTAGAACCCCGTCCAACCCCTAGAACCCTTTTCCCGGACCTGACCCAACATAGAAATCTTCCCCTTAACCCCATAGAACCCCTCCCCTGGAACCAATGCAACCTAAAAGCCCCTGACCCAACCTAGAACCCCTCCCCCTGACCCCATCCAACCCTTAGAACCCCTTTCCCGGACCTGACCCAACATAGAAATGTTCCCTTGACCCCATAGAACCCCTCCCCTGGACCCAATGCAACCTAAAAGCCCCTGACCCAACCTAGAACCCCTGACCCCATCCAACCCTTATATCCCCTTTTCTAGGACATGACCCAACCTGGAAATCCTCCCCTTGACCCCATCCAACCCCTAGAACCCCTTCCCTGGACCCAATGCAACCTAAAACCCCTGACCCAACCTAGAACCCCTCCCCCTGACCCCATGCAAGCCCTAGAGCCCCTTCCCTGGACCTGACCCAATCTAGAACCCCTGATCCCATCCAACCCCTAGAACCCCTTTCCCAGACCTGACCCAACCTAGGAACCCCTCCCCCTGACCCCATCCAACTCCTAGAATCCCTTTTACCGGACATGATCCAACCTAGAACCCCTCCCCCAGATCCCATCTAATACCTAGAACCTTTCTCCCGGACCCAACCTAAAAGCCCTGAGCTGACCTAGAACCCCTCCCACTGACCCCATCCAATCCCTAGAACCCCTCCCCCAGACCCAATCCAACCTAAAACCCTGCCCTAACCTAGAACCCCTCCCCCATACAACCCCGAGAACCCCTTTCCCTGGCTCAATCTAGAACCCCTGACTCCATCCAATCCCTAGAACCCCTTTTCCGGACCGGACTCAACCTAGAAATCCTCTTCTTGACCCCATCCAACCCCAAGAAACCCTCCCCTAGACCCAATCCAACCTAAAACCCCTGACCCAATCCAACCTAAAACCCCTCTCTCTGACTCAATCTAACCTAGAACCAGCCACCCTGACCTCATCTAACCTAGAACCTCTCCTGACCCAATCTATTCTACAACCCCTACCTCCGACCTCATTGCTAATTAGCCGATCACATGACAGCAATTTAATACATTTAGGCATCTAGACGTGGTGAAGACAATTTGCTGAAGTTCAAACCGAGCATCAGAATGGGGAAGAAAGGGGATTTAAGTGACTTTGAATGTGACATGATTGTTGGTGCCAGACGGGCTGGTCTGAGTATTTTAAAAACTGCTGATCTACTGGGATTTTCATGCACAACCATCTCTAAGATTTACAGAAAATGGCCCAAAAAAGAGAAAATATCCAGTGAGCGGCAGTTGTGTGGACAGAAATGTCTTGCTGATGTCAGAGGAGAATGGGCAGACTGATCTGAGATGATTGAAAGGCAACAGTAACTCAACCCCTCGCTAAAACAAAGGTATGCCAAATACCATCTCTGAACACACATCAAACCTTGAAGCAGATGGGCTACAGCAGCAGAAGACTACACAAGGGTGCCACTCCTGTCATCTAAGAACAGGAAAGGGAGGCTACAACTCGCACAGGATCACCAAAATTGGAAAATAGAAGATTGGAAAAACGTTGCCTGGTCTGATTTCAGCTGTGACATTCAGATGGTAGGGTCAGAATTTGGCGTATCAACGGTTCAGGCTGGTGGTGTAATGGTGTGGGGGGATATTTTCTTGGCACATTCTGGGCCCCTTTAGTAGCAATTGAGCAATGATTAAACACCACGGCCCTGCCTGAGTATTGTTGCTGACATGTCCATCCCTTTATGACTCCAGTGTCCCCATCTTCTGATGGCTCCTTCCAGCAGGATAATGCATCGTGTCACAAAGCCCATATCATCTCCAACTGGTTTCTTGAACATGACAATGAGTTCACTGGACTCCAATGGCCTCCATAGTCACCAGATCTCCATCCAATAGAGCACCTTTGGGATGTGGTGGAATGGGAGATTCGCATCATGGATGCGCAGTCCACAAATCTACATAAGTTGTACCTGTTTATCTATAGCCATCAGTCCCTTACATCCATTCAAATTGCAGAATTTACACAAGATCTCTCAGCTTTGAAAAGCAGGGGGTGGGGAGCTAAAAATACATCAGTGAGGAGAGCTCTGATTGGAGGGAAGGGACCCCTTACCTTCACACAGCACATGGGGACAGAGTTGTGGCAGTCAATCAGCTGAAACTCCCTCCCGTCACCATTTTTCTCTTGGTGTCAGGAAAACTTGTATGAAGTGGCTTACGCTGACAGTAGAGGAACCAGGCAGCAATCAGAAATCACTTAGTGTTCTGGATTGAGACACATACACATTATAGAGGGATATACAGTGGGGCAAAAAAGTATTTAGTCAGCCACCAATTGTGCAAGTTCTCCCACTTAAAAAGATGAGAGAGGCCTGTAATTGGCATCATAGGTAGACCTCAACTATGAGAGACAAAATGAGAAAAAAAATCCAGACAATCACATTGGCTGATTTGGAAAGAATTTATTTGCAAATTATGGTGGAAAATAAGTATTTGGTCAATATCAAAAGTTCATCTCAATACTTTGTTATAAATCCTTTGTTGGCAATGACAGAGGTCAAACGTTTCCTGTAAGTCTTCACAAGGTTGGCACACACTGTTGCTGGTATGTTGGCCCATCCTCCATGCAGATCTCCTCTAGAGCAGTGATGTTTTGGGGCTGTCGCTGGGCAACACAGACTTTCAACTCCCTCGAAAGGTTTTCTATGGGGTTGAGATCTGGAGACTGGCTAGGCCACTCCAGGACCTTGAAATGCTTCTTACGAAGCCACTCCTTCGTTGCCCGGGTGGTATGTTTGGGATCATTGTCATGTTGGAAGACCCAGCCACGTTTCATCTTCAATGCCCTTGCTGATGGAAGGAGGTTTGCACTCAAAATCTCACGATACATGGCCCCATTCATTCTGCCCTGTACATGGATCAGTCGTCCTGGTCCCTTTGCAGAGAAACAGCCCCAAAGCATGATGTTGCCACCCCCATGCTTCACAGTAGGTATGGTGTTCTTTGGATGCAACTCAGCATTCTCTCTCCTCCAAACACGACGAGTTGTGTTTCTACCAAACAGTTCTATTTTGGTTTCATCTGACCATATGACATTCTCCCAATCCTCTTCTGGATCATCCAAATGCTCTCTAGCAAACTTCAGATGGGCCCGGACATGTACTGGCTTAAGCAGGGGGACACGTCTGTTACTGCAGGATCTGAGTCCCTGGTGGCGTAGTGTGTTACTGATGGTAGCCTTTGTTACGTTGGTCCCAGCTCTCTGCAGGTCATTCACTAGGTCCCCCCCGTGTGGTCCTTGGATTTTTGCTCACCGTTCTTGTGATCATTTTGACCCCACGGGGTGAGATCTTGTGTGGAGCACCAGATCGAGGGAGATTATCAGTGGTCTTGTATGTGTTCCATTTTCTAATTATCGCTCCCACAGTTGATTTGTTCACATCAAGCTGCTTGCCTATTACAGATTCATTTTCCTAGCCTGGTGCAGGTCTACAATTTTGTTTCTGGTGTCCTTCGACAGCTCTTTGGTCTTCACCATAGTGGAGTTTGGAGTGTGACTGTTTGAGGTTGTGGACAGGTGTCTTTTATACTGATAACAAGTTCAAACAGGTGCCATTGATACAGGTAATGAGTGCAGGACAGAGGAGCCTCTTAAAGAAGAAGGTACAGGTCTGTGAGAGCCAGAAATCTTGCTTGTTTGTAGGTGACCAAATACTTATTTTCCACCATAATTTGCAAATAAATTCTTTCCAAATAATCCAATGTGATTGTCTGGATTTGTTTTCTCATTTTGTCTCTCATAGTTGAGGTCTACCTATGATGCCAATTACAGGCCTCTCTCATCTTTTTAAGTGGGAGAACTTGCACAATTGGTGGCTGACTAAATACATTTTTGCCCCACTGTACGTTGTTCACATTTCATGTCTGAGGTTTACAACCACTTTAAGGTAAAAAAACATTCTACTACATTCTGTGCACCCCTCCCCCCCCCTCACCTGATTCCTGTATCTATGCAGTACTGTGACTGGCTGCATCTGTTCACTCCCTTCTAACCTGCTCTTACAAGCTTGGAGAATCGGAGGTAGCGGGGTGTAAATGGGCATAAGTTCTTTAACATCCGACTGCCCATAGAACAGAATGGAGAGTCCAAAAAGATACGCCTGAAAAATGCACAGGTGAACTCAATCAGATGTCTAAAGGGGCCTAACTCTTATGTGCATTGATTGGCGCATTACAAAATCTCATACTCTGGAAAAAATACACCTTACCACTTGTCTACCAAGGTAGGTTTATAAATGGAATGGCAGGCAAGTGGTTAAAGCTACTAAAGCTACAATCTTAGAAACGATCAAGGGCATTCAATCTTTTATTTGAATCTGCTGCCCTCTACGGTCTGAATTTATAAATGCCTGTAGAAATA